GGGGGCATTTTGATCTCGATTCAATATCAATTCATATGTATATAGTGCACATATAAGGGGATAAAAATCCTTTGTTGAATGCAGTTAAATGCCCGTTTTAGCACAATTCTAAACTTTTCTTGGGTTAAATTCAGTATTTGCTTGCATTCAATAATATTCACTTGTGTGTACTTATACAAGTATCATTACAAATTAAAAAAAGAAGTAACATATTAACTTTTTAAAATTAATATATGTGAGCCTGGAGCACAAAAGCAGTCTTAAGTCGCTAGGGTATATTTGTAGCAATAGCCAACAATACATTGTATGGGTCAAAATTATATTTTTTTATTTTATGCCAAAAATCATTAGGATATTAAGTAAAGATCATGTTCCATGAAGATATTTTGTACATTTCCTACTGTAAATATATCAAAACTTAATTTTTGATTAGTAATATGCATTGCTAAGAACTTCATTTGGACAACTTTAAAGATGATTTTCTCAATATTTAGATTTTTTTGCACCCTCAGATTCCAGATTTTAAAATAGTTGTATCTCAGCCAAATATTGTCCTATCCTAACAAACCATACATCAATGTAGAGCTTTCAGAAGATGTATAAATCTCAATTTCACAATGACTGGTTTTGTGGTCCAGGGTCACATACTGTATATGAACGATCATTTGAAGCATATTCTATATGTTATAAACAGTGAAATAAGCATGTATTTGACCGAAATTCCAGAATTGTCAGCAAACTGACTCTATCTAGCGCGATGAATGTTTATATGATTGTCACCCAATGGGATGCTACATTTTATTCTTTCCACCCTCGCTGCATAATCCCTCTGCAAAGCCACGCCTCCCTCAAAACACACAAACGTGCTCCGACAGACCAGAGACTAACTTGTGATACGATGAGAGACCATACTGTTGGAGAAATGAATGCAACACTTTCAGATTACCTCATGCCTCATTCACCAGTGAGAAAACATTACAGTACAAAGCGCATAATATTACAATAACAGCGCATTTTCATTCTCGCTGGAACGCGCTGATGACGTCATGTCTGCGCAAACAGGGTGCGCAGAGGTATGCAAATACATATTTGACAGGCAGGCTGGACAGCCTATCGTAATGTTCGGGCCGAACAATTTGATTGGATGAACATTTTATGGTCCTACGCTTTCTGCAGACGATATAAATTCATAAAAATATATTTATATGACTTAACTTAGTGTTTGTCATAACACAAGCATGGCGTGAGATTTACATGAGACAGAGACTGAAAGTTTGCTATCCTAGGTACTACCAAAAGTCCAGAGTTTTGCGATCTTAGGGAGCGTGATGGATTGTAGCGTGGTAGAAGACTAGTTGGGAACGCAGGAGCTAACCCATTAAGGGCCTTATAGGCAAGTAATAATTGCTTGCCTATATGTCTGCGATCCACCGTAAAGCAAGAAGACGCCGCCTACCGCGCCGGCTGTCGAGGACGCGCTCAGGACAGTTCAGACATTGCGGGGAAAATCAGAGGTAAAAAACAATATAAATACTGTTCAGTTTCTTGCACAGACCAATCATTTAGTGTATTTACACATCAATGTATCATCACGAGCCGCAGGGTTTAATTTGGTTTTGTTTGTGTATGTTTTTTTGACTCTCAAAGCCGTGATTCCCATTCACCTCCATTATAAGACTGATAGACTGCAACGGTTTGAGTTAAAAATCTCCGTTTGTGTTCTACTGAAGAAACAGTCACCTACATCTTGGATTTTCATTTTCATTTTCATTTTTGGGTGAACTATCCCTTTAAACACCTGAACACTTACACAACACTGGTGTTAGTCTTTAATTTCATAAGCATCATTACAAAAGAAGAAACTAAGGAATAATGTTGCACTGTAATGTAAATTTTGAATCATGTAACATTTCTCTCTCCTAGGTCCGTGTGTGCTAAAGGGCACATTGGGCAGCAAGCAAATTCCACTGATAGCGATTGCCTGCATGGGATTCAACTTCTTCCCATTTAACGCCAGCTCACTTTAAATGAATGTAAGAATGTTTGAATATCTGAATCATGTAACATTTACTGGAGTGACTTCTAACAGTAATGTCATCCTGGTTTTATAAAGACATTTTAAATATTAAATCATTGAGCAATCCTGCCTGTTATTAGCGTTTTTAGCTCATTGTTTAATCTGTGCTCATTTGATTTGAGCCAAGATTTTTAGTGTTTTGCTAGTTTTTGCTAGTGTTTCAGCATTTTTGATGTTACTTTAACATCTGTGCCAAACTGAAACTTGATAAGAACTACTGCACAACGACTTTTGAAAAAGTATTGAGAAATGGCTCACCAATTCATCAATACAATATAATGTTAATTTCACCCTAGACAAAAGCTAAATTAGCTACAATATGAAAGTGTTAGTCAATGTTTAATTTAGTTCACTTACTTTAAATAAAAAATACTTTGAAAGACCTTATTAATTGTGATGTCTTTTTTTAAAATATCCATGTAATAAAAAAAAAATAAATAAATAAAATAAAAACTATTAAAAATAGCATAACAACAAAATGACTAAAACTTAGAAAGACTAAAAGCCGCTTTATGGCTCATTTGACTGTTTCATAATTGGCAAATTTTGCAACATTTACACTTTTATTGAACTGAACTGAATCAAACGTTATTTTCAGCTTTACAGCTGAATTTGAATTTGTCTCATATTTGATGAAGTATGCATCATTGATTCTTTTATTTTCTGTTTATTACTGTGAAGGTGCTCTGAAACAACAAATTGTTTCTGGTATGATAAATGACATGATTTAATGTCTAGACAAAGTGTGAGCATAAGAAAACATGTCATACCTCCTTTTCCAATGGGCATTTTCATCACAAAGATAAGAACAGATAAATGTTGAATTTTATAGGAGCCAAGTGTTTTATGGTCTTCCAGATGATTATTTCCTAAAAACACCTTCAAGTGGCCTGGGTCTGATAAAACAAAAACATCAATAACATATGAGGAACAAGTCAAAAGTCGCGTGATTTAAACTTTCACTTTCAGGTTTGCATTTCACTGCAAGTTGTAGTCTGTTTATAACTATATTTGTAACAAATAAAAACGTCTCAGGTTACTTATGTAAGCATGGTTCCCTGAGTAGGGAACGGTGCCTATTTATACTTTAGTCGCACCGGTAGTGACGTCATGGCTGTCGCCGGCCAACGAGTTGGCGTTTTTTCAATGTATGCTTCAGACACGGGTCACAACGAGGCGTTCCCCATAGCGACCCCTAGAGGACGCAGTTCGAAGTTCCCATGAAAGGGAACCTTGAATCTTGAATCTAAAATCCCTTGAATCCATGAAACAAATGGACCTACTGTTTATAAACAGGTATTAATATATAATTACAAATGACTCTGAAGCTTAATTTGTGTTTCAGTCATGTTATTTTAAAATGTCGACAGAAGAAGAAGAAACACACACACACACACACACACACACACACACACTTTGAGTGATTTTGAAAAGTAAGTAATTAATATTTTCTCTACCGGGTGCTCCCGGAATCTTAAATCTGAATCGTTCCTTCAGTTCTTTGACGGTCGTCTTCTTAAACTCTTCAGATGAATCCACGATATTTAATGGTGTATTCTTCATGTCATCGAAGTTGATGAGGACCTGAAACGCCATTCTGAATGTTTTAGCAGAAAATGACCATGAACTGGTAAGAAACAAGAATCGTTTGATGGCCGAAATACAAACGCAACGGTTCAGTTTTACTTTCACTTTAATATGCTTCTATAAAGCGTCAAAGGGGAATGTTTAACTCAACATAACCAGCTAGAGTTAGCTAGTCAGAAAGTAAGCGTTACGATTAAAGAGGAGGAGAGAAAAATTAAACCTGAATCTTAACATTATAACGTCAGTATATGAACGATATGTTTCCCGTATGTCATTTAAAGGTTTATTTATCAATAGGTCCGTTTTTCAAAACTCTGCACTCAGTCGCACAACAATCTATGTGGATCTCAACTGTGGCACAAAATACATTTCACGACTATTTCTTTCAGTTTGTTTGAATTATTTCCTCACTCAGACATGAAAAACATCAAAACTCAATTAAGCTACTGAGCAAGTCACATGTATATATACTCAAATCAAAACTGATAAACTTGAGTTCACACCAGCTGAATAAGACAGTTTGCTGCACTTCTACACTAATACCACACAGGAATACATTCCAGATCTAAAAACTGAAATGCAATCAAAACAGATGTATCTGAATACCTACACAACACAGGTGTTAGCCTTTAATTTCATTAGCATCATTACAAAACCACCACTGGCTCTGCACCCCTTTACCTAAATTCATTACTTCAGACTTATGTGCCTCTAGAAGTTTGCGTTCTGCAAGTGAACGATGCATTATTGTTCATCTCAAAGAGGCACAAAATCACTTTTACGGACTTTTTCATTAACTGTTCCCTCCTGGTGGAATGATCTGCCCAACTCAATCCCAGCAGCTGAGTCCTTAACCATCTTCAAGAAACGACTAAAAACACATCTGTTCCACCTTTATTTGACCCTCTAACTCTAGCACTTTCTATTCTATTCTACTTCTACTTTATCTATTTATCTTCTTTTTTATAAAAAAAAAACTAACATTAGCTTTCTATTTTTCTATTCTACTTGTTTTTCTTTTTGTGTATGTGTGTGTTTACATACCTTTTTATAATCTGAAGAAACTTATTTTGCCACAAACAGGACGGTTCTGCAGATGTTAAAGGTTCTTTATGGAACCATTTAGTCAGAAAGGTTCTTCTATGGCATTGTGAAGCACCTTTATATACCTTAAAAAAAAACACACAACAAATTTCTCGTGTGTTTGCGCAAACCTGGCGAATAAAGCTAATTCTGATGCTGATTTTTAAGAGTGAACTTGTACAAAAACCACAAACTTCCATGCCAATATCAAATATTATAGTAAAAAAAATTCTCTTTTTTCATAACTAAACTTTAGCCTCATATAACATCCATGCCATTGCTGAGCAACAACAACACGGAAACATGTTGAGAAAACGCTGCTCAGTCGATGGATGTCAGGAAACTACATCATTGCACAGGCTTCCAAACTAGGGTTGGGCCGATAGACTGATAGACTCCACGATGTTGAGCCGGCATCATGATCCCCCCCTCCCCCTCATAACCACCACAATCCAGCCGCATCCCAAATACAGAGTTTCGGGAAAGAAAATGATGTGAACTACGGAACCCCTAAAGTTAATAAATACGAGATGAGAGGAAAATATATATTTCAATATTTTCTCTCGCAGTTATATCATTGGGTAATTATACTGTTTAAATTGCGGGCATCAGGCAGGGAGCCGCTATTATGCCTGGCATTGAAACTGCTTTTGAATGCACGATTTTAGTTTCACTTTCACTTTCGAGATTCGCGATCGCACGTACTTTGTTTATACTATGGAGCGGCAGTACTTACCACACATTTTACAAGATTAGATGTTTGTCAGTGGTGCTCAGGTTCTGCAATTCGCCATCTCCTCAGTCATCTCTCTTTATGTGGTAAGTGAAATTTTATGTAGGCCTACTGTAATATAACAGGCATTATGTAATGTCCACAACCTGTAAGTAAACTTCTCACACATTTTATGTTGCATTATGGAGCCAGCATAATCTGAAATTATAGTTTGTAAACGGTTATGCAATGCTAACGTGTTGCTAACTTGATGCTGACGTGTTGTATCAGTAGGAAAGCAATAGTTACGTAGAGATTACTGCATTCGGTTTTTGGAAGAAAAAAATGTATAATTACCATTCTGAAACATCCTGTTGTAAGCGCATTTGATGAGGTGGTTAGTTGTCGCCTGTCGTCGCCGATTCGAGGTCTGAGTCCGGCTCAAACATGTAAGGCCGGACAACATTTCCCTCAGCAGTGACCATCATTACAGGTGTTTCTATTTTTCTATTTGCCATAGCAGGCTACAGCATTCATGACCCTAGTTACCTGTTGTTGGCCTGGCCATACGTCACTCAGAAAAACAACAGGCCAATCAGAAGAGAGGCTCGTGAATATTAATTAGACAGGCCAAAATCGACCTGTTCAAAGCAGAGCTCCTGAGAGAGGAGCTGTACAAATATATTTAGATGCTTTTTGGTACTTATACTGCAAATATATATTCTTAAGGACATCAAAACCTAAAATAAAACTCCAGAAAGGTGTATAATATGTGACCTTTAATGAGTAATGGGTGTTTTCTTGGGCGTAACATGCAATAAACCAATCAGAGTCTCATCTCCCATTCCCTTTAAAGCCAAGTTCACACTACACGACTTTAAACGTTGGCAGATCGCTGTGCTGTTCAGACTACATGACTGGATTGTCTGTCTTTAAGTCGTTGGGGTGTTCACACTACGTGACCATGTAAATGATCCGCAACCGGGGGTTACACACTACACGAGATGACAACAACTGTCACCCAACGACTCTACAAACCACGTTTTGTCACGAAAACACACGCAAGAATTGGAACGGGAATGACGCGAAACAACACGTGAAAAAGGAGTTATTTGAAAATGGATGTCGGGAAGAATTTAGCGCTGCAAGCTGTTTGCTCGATGAAAAAGTTTGCTCCAAACTTTTCTTTAAGCCATGTTGCTGCTGTTGTTTTTCTTCCGGAGACCTCAACACATGCCTTGCTCTCTCATTGGCTGTAGCTCGTCACAACACCTAGGAGTTGGACGTCAGGAAGAAATTAGCGCTGCAAGGTGTTTGCTCGATGAAAAATTTTGCTCCATTTCTTGTGTCCAGACTTTCCTTTAAGCTGTGTTGCTGCTGTTGTTTTTCTTCCGCTGTCCTGAACCCATGCCTTGCTCTCATTAGCTGTAGCTCGTCACCACACCTGACACCACGTGATGTCGAGTCGGCCTGATATTTAGCATGCTAGATATTTGTTTGCTGTCGGCGAGCCTCTTTGATGCGTCGTTGTGTAGTTCACACATAAAGATTGCCCAGTGCCGATCACCCGCTGATTTTCCCCCAATCACAGTCGGACCTGTCGGCGAGCTCGTTAACTTGCAAATCAGGCTTAAAATCCAGTAGTGTGAACTAGGCTTAAGAGGTAGTTGCGCTCGTGCCATGGCGGATTTGCTATTTACACAGTGGAATTTGCAAGCGCAAAGACAGAATGCGTCTCATGTAGGCATTTCATATAATAATCTTTTACATTGCAATCCTTTAATTTTTAACATTTGGCATGTTTGTGTGCTGCTGTGCATCCCTGTGTGTGTAATAAGCAGAGTGTATGCGCGCTGTGGACCCGCCTATACTAACGCCATTGATTTTAGACCAGGTTTTTGTTGGTCAATGGCACAGTCTATTTCAGTTGCCTCAAAATAGCAACGCGCCAGCAATGCGCCTGAACACACAT